GATAATTTTCGGCTACTTGAATTTGGTGTTTCTTAAATTGCTTATACAACAAATATACGCAAATATATATATATATATATATTAAGACCAAATTACAGACTGGATCTTAGTCTTGCTAATACCTAGGACTAATCAGCTTGATAAACCTACATAATTAGTTGCTTGGCTGGCTCTATCATTCTAACCCAACCCTAATTAATAGTTTTGGATGCTACTGATTAATCAATAAACTTTCGTAATTAATATGTAATATACATGGGTAGTAAATCAAATCAAACTCAGTCAATTTATTATTATGTGGTGTTGGTGGTTTATGTAGTAAATCTCTGTAATACATATAAGAAATCAAAAATTGAATCTTTTTAACAAAAAATAAAATGAATAAAAAAAAATTGAATCTGATTACTCACTTATAAACCAAAAATAAATAACAATAATCAAATTTAAAAGAGTTTAACGACAAGGAAAAATCATTTGTCGTGAAGAATTTGCCAAACATCACAATTGGAGAATTCTTGACCGAGAGGGTCCAATTGAATGCATTAACCCTTAAACCTATTGGTGAAGGTCATTTGTAAATATAATTTAGCATATGTGTGACTTGAACTGAAGATTTTTTTATGACAAAATATTTATAAATCTCATAAGCAAATAAATACTTAATACAAAAAAAGTTAAATTAAAATTGACATATAAATAGATTTAGAATATAATATCCTAATAGGGTCGGGAAAACCTTCGAGACTAGAAACGTTTAATACAAAAAAAAAAAGACGTATGAGCCATGCCACCTGGACACTAAGTGTACCATGGCATGCAAGGATTACGCACTAGGTGTGACGGACCGATTGCTCGCTTGTTGCAAAGTCTAATACACCTCCCTGCACTACAAGAAAAATGTTTTGTTGTAGTAAATTCTTCAGTAACAAAAGAAGTTTGTTACTAAAGGTTGGACCTACAACGAAAGCTATTGGTATATGTGGCTTTTTTCTTTGTATACCCCACTTTTAGTGACATAGCTTTTTCGTAATCAGAAGCTCACCTATACAAATGATTTTCGTTTGTGTATGCTCAACTTTTACAAATAGAATGTTTATAAAAATGGTTTCCATGTGTGTAGGCGATGGCTCAAGCCTATCTGTTTTATAATTTTAACCTAATTATAAATTTTAACCCAACCCAAAAGTCATTTAACGAAAACTCAAATTATTAAAAAATTTATAAACAAAATTACAAAAACTTTAATTTTCTTTAACAAAATATATCGTTATTTAGTCATAAGAGGTTTTGGCTTAATTTCTTCTTCCCATCAACATATGAAACAGGGCTTTCTTCATTTTCTTTTTACTCAAACCTTGGCTTCTTTACTTACTTGTAAAATCAACTCAAACAAATAAGGGTTTTTTTTTTTTTTTTATATCCACTTAGAGGTACGTCTCATTTGGTTGGTCTTTTCTTCTCCTTGAATTTCTATTAAACGAATAAAATTTATAAGTTTTGGGCCTTTTCGCAATTAAAAATTATAAAAATGAATTAAGCATTCAAAATATGGGGCCTCTATAGAATTTTAGGAAGTACTACACACCTCAATAGGTGAGGTGTCAAGACGGGCTAGGCTGTTCGGCCACGTGTGCATACACGTGGCTAGATCTAAAAAACAAACAATCCATATTTATCTTCTAGATCCAACAGCTCCCAAAAGCTCATATAAAAACTTCATTTTTAGCTCTTGGAGAGCAAAGAAGAACCCTAGCCATCAAGGAAGCCCAGGTGGCATCAGGGCTGAAAGAGAGGAGAGGGGAGAGGAGCATTAGTTGTGTGAAGAGGACGAGTGAGTGGTGGTCGCGAAGGTGGAAGATGCGGTGAAAGGAGAGACACTACAGGAAGAAGAAAGAGAGAGAGAGACGTGTGACGGGAAAAGAAAAAGAAAAAAAGGGCAATCATTGGGCAAAAAAAGAAGAATAAAAAGAAGAAGGAGAAGAAAAAGAAAGAGGAGAATAAAAAGAAGAGCAAGGAGAGAAGAATAATAAGAGGAAGGAGAAGAAGAAGAAGAAAAAAAAAGAATAAGAGGAAAGGGAAGAAGAAGAATAAGAAAAAAAGAGATAAGAAAGGAGGTGCAACGGCCATGGTGTGCGGTGTACGATTGAGAGTCAGCGAAGTTGAGAGAGGAAGCATATTTAAGCAATCCACACGATGTGCAGTGATCCGGCAGAGGAGAGAAGTGTGCGACGTGTGCGGTAATTTTGCAGAGTAGAGGAATCTGACACGGTGGCCATGGTGGACACGACAGAGGAAAGAGGAAATAGCCAAAGGAAAGAAGAAAAAAAAAAGAAAAAAATGGTAAGAAAAGAAAAAAATTAAAAAAAGAAGAAAAAGCAAAAAAAAAAGAAGAAAAAAAAGAGAAGATGAAAGCACGGTGCAAACCGATCTACTATTGGTGTGCGCAGTAGTGCATACCGATCGTGGTGGCGGGGCATGCAGTTTCTTGCGGTGGCACAAATGGTAGTGCGTGCGTGACTATTTTAATGACACACGCATGGTGACACATAGTGACTGGGCATGCAGTTTCTTGTCGTGGCGTGTATGGCAGTATGTGACTATTCTGATGACACACGCATGGTGGCTCCAGTGTTCGAGGACCCTGAATCCGAAGGTAAAATCATTTCACTTTTGTTTCATAGCGTTTCAATTATTACTCGTCTTTAATGACATGCGTATTTCGTTTGTGAATAAGAAAAACATTGGAGTGGTAGTCGGGATGTGGAAAGAATCGTAACCTGATACCATTTTGGATTACCATG